CATAATGAGATGGCTTGAAACCTACCACTGTCCACTTTGGATGCCCCCAATCTATTTTGAATTGATAAGAAGCAATCTGAACCAATATTTAGTAACTTTGAGAGTTGTGATTGTGCATTTATTCATTGATGAAATTTGATTTGTGATTTATAAATGTGCAGGATTAAAATGTAAAATCAAATGTGTGGGACTTGAGTTAGTTGAGTACTTGTGGAGTTGTGGAAGTCTAAAAGAATGGAAGATGGCATCTTATGGTCTACTGAAAACTGGAAAATCATACCTTTGTACCTTTTTTTCCAGTTTTGTACTTTTGCTATGTTCTGTAAACTTTGGAGAAAACTTTATCTTTTTTTGCTAAGTACTGTCTAATTACTTAGTTATTTTATATGCATGGGAGCTTGGTTTGTAATTACCTTTGTTTTGTATTTCTAATTTTTGCTAAGTACTGTCTAAGTACCGTCTAATTCAAGATGAACCAACTTTTATTTTGTATTTCTAATTTTGTACTTGAAAAGTTATGATGCAATTTCAAAGTGTTTTAAGCATAACCGATGTAACCGATATCCGAACCGAAACCCGAAAATACCCGACTTTCCAATATCCGAAAAAACCGATATCCAAACTACATGGGTTGGGTTCTATAATTACATTACAAAACCCGAACGAGTTTGTTGTCCACAGACCCGACCCGCCCGAACCCGACCCGTGCTCTCCCCTAATCATACCAGCAAATTTCAATCTAAAAGAAAACCTGCTGAATCGTTCACGTGGGGTATAGATATTGACATAATGTGATCGAGATGTTATTATAGTTTATACGTGGGGTCAAAGTTTTATACGGCGTACATTTTTTATCTACATTTTTGTATTTATAGAGCTACGTTTTTCTATCAACATGCACTTTTGTAACTATTCATCATACCAATTACGGAGTATATATATATATATAGCTTATCGATATTGAAATACGGAGTAATTTATACATTTTGAACATTCAATATATTGAAATGATATTTAGAACCCGTTTGATAACATTGAAATTAATTTAATTGATTGATTTTGTTAAAATTTATAAATTTCTGGTTGAACTAGTTGGATTAACTGATTGTCTTGAAAAAGTTACGTTTAAAATATATACTCTCTCCATCCCGGAAAAGGTTCGCCAAATTGATTTTTCTTAGTCAATGCTAGTAAACTTTGGATAATTATTTTTATTATTATATTAATATGTAATTTATAAATTTTATACTTATACAAAAATATGTTTAGTAAGGAACATTTTAATATAATTTTTATATTACAAATAATTTCTTTTTAAAAAATATCATTGGTCAAATTCGGCTATCATTGATCAAGAAAAGTCAATTTGACAAACATTTCTGGGACGGAAGGAGTACTTTATTTTGATCATGTACTCTCATTAAAGGATAAACTAAAAAAGAAAACAAATTCTCTTTAAAGGAAAAAATCAGGTATACCAAAAAGAAAGAAAAAATGCATTATTTATTCAAGTACAAAAACTGCACTTCTTTCACCCCCCGGCCTTTAATCATAGTGTTCTCAAATGACTACCCAAGAAAGAGTGAAAATGCATTTGATTCACAAGGCTCAACGTGTTGCATAATACCAAAAATGGATTTTATAAAGGGAAATAACTTATGTTTTTAACAATACCTATGTGAACTAAACTAAAATGTATAAACCTGTGTTTTCACTCCTTATATTAAATTTTTTTATTTTGTTCATGTACTCTCATTAATTGCAATGAATCCATACAAAGTTCTTTCAAAGAATGTCTATTTGCAATTGTATGACAAGGCTCTACTTTTGCAGTGAGTTGTGACTTCCGTGAGCGAGTGGATTGTCCCTCTAAAAAAATTCATCCTAGACATATACGTCGTATATGGTTGAGACGATCTTGATGGACTAGGAGGTACATATATTATGATCTCATGTTTATATGAATTTATTTTAGTTTGTATCAATTCAGTTCCAAATGAATTCAGTGTGCACTTATATGAATTTATGGTTGGTCGGTATTTCGGTTTCTATAATAGGGTAGTGCTACTCATGGGTTTTCCAAAATTCTGCAAGGTTGCATTACTTTTCTACTTATTGGAGTATCATAAAAGAGTGCATTTTACACTTTTGAAGAAGTGGATTGAATAAAGAGTTTAGAATCTAACTTTGCCAGGTATGGGCTGGGTTTTTCCAGGTTAACCGGGTCTTGGCCATTTTCGAGTTTTTAAACACCCTGACCGGATGGTATAGCAGATATGAACGTTGCAGCATTGTTAAAGGAAAACAGAGAAGAATGGAATGTCCAAAGGGTAGAGAAAGTCTTTGGGGAGGAAGAAAGGCAGCAGGTTTTGGCAATACCCATAAGTGGGAGAATTCCAGATGGGTTTTGGTGCAAAGGATGTCAAGGGTGCCGTATACGGGGAAGAGCGGGTATAAATGTTGAGAGGAGAGTCTATTAATTACCCACAAGTGGCTGGGATGGACTAAGATGTGGGGATGCTCTATACCGCCCAAAATCAAGCATTTTGCTTGGCAGTTAATGTCTTAATGACGGGAATGCTATCTACTGTGCATAACTTGAGAAAAAGGAGGGTGGTGGAGAGGATTTATGTTGTTTTTGTACATGTAAAGCAACACCTGAATCATAATTACATTTATTCCAAGGCTGTCGGACGAGTATGGTGGTGTGGGATAAACTTGGGATTAGGTTTCGTAGGAGTGCAGACACCTTATGGCAGTACAAAAAAAGGGGTGGCTATGCTCAATGGATGGCGTGTTTGCATTTTGTATTTGGAAAATATGAGATGGCTTAAAAATGTAAACTGTGACTTTTTATGCTTTGAAGTTCTACATTGATTATGATGCACACTTTACATTTTGTTATAGTAACATGTGTATTCCCTATATAAAGGTCCAATTATTTTATGATTTAAAAAAAGCATGTGGAAACTTCGTTTATAACTCTGCTACAGAACTGCACTCAATAAGAACATATAAGGATTTTATTTTTTCCTTCTTTTCTATAATCTACTACTAATGACACTATTGTAGATGTGGATATGGATAGTCAATCACTAACTTATTCTGCTATTAGGCTATTAGCATTTACATTAATAATGATTTTTTATTTTGATTTATATTTATTGCAATGAGAATATCTAGAAACTACTAATGTTGTACTAGAATTAAGCAATGTGTAAAAGTTGTAGCTTTTGGATTTTGGAGGTTGTCTGTACAAAGTTGGCCACTTGGGCTACGATCATGACAAAATAGTGACGTTTTCTGTTTTTCATTGCATCATCAAACATGAATACCGGACACTTCACAACAAAACATCTCATGATGATGATGGTTGATTTAGAAGACCCCTCAGGACTCAGGAGTGATGATTTTTGAGGATATCTTCATATTCATACACCATTTTTTATTCTCCTGAAAACTGAAGTTAGAAAAAGTCCAATAATGTCTTTATTATTGGGGTATTCGATACTGGATTGGTTATAACTTATAACTAATAGTTAGCTTTATTAACTTCAAAATTAATTAGATATGGGTTTCTAATATTACACTTAAGTTATTATTGGGTCATAACTCATAAGCTATTTTTATCTTTCAAAAAATTAAGGCTCAAAATGAGCACTACCTAAGCAGACATATGAGAGAGTGGATGTTTTAAAGTTCATTGTGGATGTGATGTTTGTTCTACTATTTTCGTTAATGCCTAATATCACATTCATTTATTTTTTTCTAATTGATGCAACCAATCCATTCTAAGTTTTTTGAAGAAAGTTCATTTATGTGGAGTGACTGTCTAATGATGCCAATTGTCCTGAAAAATATTAAAAATGGACGTCTGAAATATGATATTACGTACATTACAACACTAAGTTTAATCAATATTGTTTAACTTGCATAAATTAATTTTAGTAGCATTTTAGTTAACTTGCTATCCCGTGCAACGCACGGGTAAAAGACTAGTTTCTTGCTAAAAAGGTAAATTTCGCTGATAAAGTCCTTCACATGGACAAATTTTTTGGGCATATGACGAGATCTTCAAATGAATAATGCTATGAAATCACTCATGGAGAACAATAAAATCTATAATTTCTCATATTATTGTTAAATTATTCATGTGATTCCATCAATGAGAGATTTTTCGTACAAATTCCATAACAAGTTAAGGAGGAAAAGGCCAGGGTGGAGCCAGGCACTAGGTCAGTACAAAGAAGAGAATATTACCCGAAATATGACTAAAAAGGTTTGAAGATTCCAAAATAGGACTGTCATGGTTTTATTCCCAAAATAGGACTTATTATTGCCATGTTCTGGCAATATCAGACTTCAAAAATGATAGTATTTTCCAAACTTGGCAGTAATTACTCTTAATTTCGGAATAAAAAACATGACAACCTTGTTTTGAATTTTCAAACTGTTTTAGTCCTATTTTTTGGAACTTTTCCTACAAAGAAATATTTTTGGAAAAAATACACAAGATTTCTACCTTAAATTTTTCGACATTTTTTAAATTTGGGGCGAGCCAGAGCCTAGGATGGCCCTCCCCTAGCTCCGCCCCTTGGGAGGCTTACACCAATTCAGATCTAGGGATGGAAAACATGGAGACATGTCTCAGACATCAACAAACTCTCTTGAATCCCACTTTGGAAAAAAGAAAGACCCCAAAGGTCGACATAAAGTAACAAGCTAGGATTGCAAGAAGACACAAGACTAACAACTATGCACCCAGAACTCTACTCTCCCCAAGTCGTAACAACGTAACATGGAGTGTTATCACCCAAAGTCCCACAAACCTCTCAAAAAATCTCCCTAATAAGTACCTCATTAAGCACTTCATCACACTTCATCAAGTGAGGAACATATATATTGATGGATAAAATTACCAAGGTCTGACCCACCGCCTCTTAAGCTTCCGGCATAGCAAGCCGGCCAAGCCCAAAACTCAACTCAGTACCTTAGTGAATACTGAACCTACGTCTATCAAAGACTCAGAATGATTTTTTCACCAATGTCTATGAAATCTCAATTCACATTATTTTAGATGTCATCTTTTTCGAGGGGAGATCGACTAATTTGGCCCCTCAATCACGTGTATTGTTTTATGGCAACCCCGAACGTGTATAAACTCAACATATGTGACTCCGTTTTAGAAAGCTCAAGCAATGCGGCACATGAAGGTATTTTTATTTTTATGAGCACAAAGAAAGTTTGATTCGTGGTTTTTTACTACGTATTACATATTGGGTACGTTAGCAACTTCACAGTAGAAATTGAACTTTGGGGGTTCCATCTGGTTCACAGCCCACTTCTCCTTGGCTGCTACTCTACATTTTCTAAAGGAAGTCATTTTATTTTCTAGCATACAATGTCTATACATAATAGGGAGTACATAATAATACATCCATCAAAGTCATCATGATTCTTGAAACCGATGGCCCCAAGTTATGTTGGGTGATTTACCAAAAGACGGGGAAAGGGGGATTGGGTTGCCAAAAGACGGGGATTTACCTAGGGTTTACCAAAAAACGGGAGTCGGAACTCCCAATTCCGACCAGAAGTTAGGATTTCGAAAAATAATTCCCTCCCCCTAGTCGGATTACCCAATTCCGACTAGGGATTTTTTTTTTTTTTAATTTTTTTTTTTACGTCGAAGTAGATAGAGTTCCCAAATTAAAAAATAATTCCCTCCCCTAGTCGGATTACCCAATTCCGACTAGGGAATTTTTTTTTTTTTTTTAAATTTTGTTTTTTATGTCGAAGTAGATAGAGTTCCCAAAGAAAGAAAATAATTCCCTCCCCCTAGTCGGATTACCCAATTCCGACTACGGAAAAAATAATTTTTTTTTTCAAATTTTGTTTTTTATTTCGAATTAGTTAGAGGTTGGCAAAAAATATTTTTTTTCCAATTTTATTTTTGATTTTGAGTTCGAAAAAAAATAAAAGTGTTAGGGTTAAATTATATCAATTCCAAATTTAAAACTTTTTTTTGATTGATGACATATTTTTTAAAATGAAGACTTAGCATTAGCATTATGATTTTTTTAGTAAGAAAACAATTGATTGCTTTGAATTGTTTTTTAATCCATTAGTATTGTGAATTTTGTTTTAATTGCAATTTTTGTAATTTTAAGTGCAATTTTGATTTACTCCATTCGTCTAATCAGATAAAAATTTCATTTTGTTTTAAGTGAAATGTTTTTGTAATTTTAATGGATGTGAACAAAACAAATGTAGTTTTCAATATAATTTATTAATGAATAGACGGTACATACAACATTAAATTTAATACTACATCTAATGTTGCGCGCTCGGCCCTGCTCCGTCCCCACCGCCAATGTTCCAAGGCCCCGTTGTGTCTCCATAGTGAAAAGACGAATTCAGAAATGACTCAACATAATCATCCGGTTGTGTGGACCACTGATAAGAATCATAATACGGCGGTGGTTGATCAAATGACCCACCTTGATGCGTTGAGAATTGAGGGGGTGGTTGATCAAATGAGACACCCTGTGTTGAGAATTGAGGGGGCGCTTGTGAGTCCTCACCCCCATCTTCACGTTCATCTGAATCATTCTCTTCGTCACTTCCACCTGCATCTTCATCTTCATAGTGGAATATGCCCCGGTGGAGCATATCTTCATCACCTACATCCAGGGCCATCTGCCGTAGTCATTTTTGACAATCCTCGTAACTCGCGCGGTCGGCTAAGAGCTGATACACCTCGTGAACGCCTTGCTTCTACATAAAAATGTAACACGTGTAAATAATATGACCCGATATATGGTAGCGAATATGGTATGTATTCAAAAACTTACCACAATACCCCAATCGTGTGCTGTCGGGGTGTAGCCTGTCGTGGGCACATTGTGAGAAGGGTTCTGGACACGTGTCATGCCATGCTTCTTGTACCAGTTTCGGATGTGTTTTAGAAATTTTAGAAATTTTAGAAATTTCTAAATCCGACCAGGGGATGTGTTTTAGAAATTTTGTTTTGTTTTATTTTAAGAAATTTTATGATATTTTAAGAAATTTTATAAATTACCCTATATTTTGTTTTATTCTAAAAAATTTTATAAATTAAATTTTAGGGAAAAGTACGGAAAAGGTACTTGTGGTTGGGCTCATTTTCAGATAGCGTCATGTGTTTCATTCTTTATCAAAGTGGTTCATGTGTTTGAATTCTGTTATCACAAGAGGGTCACACCGTTAAAAACGTCTGAAAAATACCGTTAAAAGTAACTCCGATTTTCAAAAGTGTCCAAAAAATTAAAAGAAAAATACCGAAAGGTGCGCCTCAATAAGACGACTGCTAGGCCATATTTCTTGGGGATCCCTTATATGACTTGGGGATGATCCACCTACATTTATTGATTACCGATATGAAGTTAAAAAATGTAACGTCATATAAAGTGTACATTTGACCCCGAAAGCTGTATTTCAATTCTCAAACTGTTTTTAGAGGTCATCCCAATATATCCCAAAAGTCCAATGTCGCAATTAAAAGAGAACAGAGGTAGTATTTTATTTTATCGGGTCAAATAAAATATAACACATGTTCTCAATCATTATTGAACCTTTATATTGTGGAATCCGACTCTCGTATATTGGTAACCTAATTCCATTTATCGTATTTTGGCTTGTATCGTAGTATATATAATTTAGCACATTCACCCACAATGTTAAGGCACCGGTTGATATGTTGGACCGATATGATTGGTGTGATGATCATTACTCTGCTTTGGGTTTTTCGGAATATCTTGCAAAATATTGAACTACCGAAGAAATCAATTGCGGTAATGCCTTTCAGCATATTGCAAATTATGAGCATCACATCAGCCGACCAAAGCACCATGTCATCGAGGCATTCAGTCTGGGTCGTCCGACTCTTCACCCGAGTTTATGACTGTACAAAATAGATACATTCATAAATTTCAATAATATTATATACTACAAAAAATAAATATATAAAATGTGAGCTTATGTAATTGAATGAGTTAAAAATTACTTAAACGTGTCATATTATAAAATGTGAACTTCTCTAATTAAATGACTTAAAAATTAGTAAAATAAATACTTCTAAATAACAATTTAATTTATAAAATATTTAATTTATAAAATTTCTTATAAGAAAACAAAATATAGCTTAATTTATAAAATTTCATAAAAATCTTAAAAAAACAAAAATTCTAAAACATATTCCTTGGTCGGATTTCTCATTTCCGACAAGGATAAAAAGAAAATATTTAAAAATTTTGAACACCCCTAGTCGGATTACACAATTCCGACTAGGTAATTTATTTTATTATTATTGCTGTTTTTTAATTCCTTCAGGTTAGACAAATAAAATAATGGAAACATTAAAAAATTTCGAACACTCCCCTGGTCGGATTACACAATTCCGACTAGGTGTTTTTTTATTTTGTAATTTCCAATTTAAATGAAATCATTTAAAAAACCCTGGTCGGAAGTGCCTAATCCGACAGGAGGAGGGGTGTTTTTTTTTTTTTAAATCCAGATTTTCAAAACCTAAATTCCTGTCGGAATTGGAGATTCCGACTAACGTGTTTTGGTAACCTAATGGCAACTCCCGTTTTTGGGAATGTCAGAACGAAAAGTTTCGTTATTTGGTAATTACTTCATTTATGTTGTCTAATGTGAGATAATAAAGATGACCAAATTGTTTTTTGCTTCTCCTTTACCCAAAAAGATACTTCTTCCGGTTTTTATTAAACTTTACACTTTCTTTATTGGGACGGTCAAAAATAAACTTCACACTTCCTTATTTCCTTTTTTGGCAAAGAAATCTACATTAAAACAGTGCCAAACAGTGGCAAACAGTGTCTCAACAGTGCCAAATAGTGTCTCAACAGTGCCAAATAGTGTCTCAACAGTGTCAAACAGTGTCAAACAGTGCCTTAACAGTGTACTCTACAGTAAAGTCAAATTTCTTTCCTTATTTTGTGTGAAGTCAAAGTGTGAAGTTTAATAAAAACGGGAGGGAGTATTATTTACGGAGTACTATCATATTTTGCAAAGCAAAACTTACCTCACTTGATGTATCCATATTTCAAGTTTCAACTATTCGGCTAATACGATCATTAGAAATAAATTGACTTTTTCAACAATTAAGCATTAGTGGAACCTACAAGTTTTCAGAATTTAGAGATTATTATGATAACTGAAACTGAATTTATACTCACTCCATCCCTTTTTAATGTCCCGTTTTATCATATTGGGTTGTTCCTATTTAATTGTCTCATACCTTATTTGGTAAAGTTTGTGTGATTCAAAGTCATTCTTACTTTATTCTTACTTTATCAATTTATATCAACCACACAAATCCACTTTTCTTAAAACTCGTGTCACTCTCTTCCATTCCAATATAAAAGTGACGGAGGTAGTATATAGGTGTGACAAAATATATACGTCCTACTCCGTATATATTATACGAGTAGAGATTACACTGGCTTTTGGGAAATACAACGGAATAACGGATTGTCAAAATGATCTCCCATCATACCTTTACCATCAAGTACAATTTCAGTACGTAATGAATTAAATGAGAGATTGAAATAGCTCGGCTGATGAAATTGCTCAAGAAGGATTTCTCTTAATGCTAATATATGGGTTTGTAAGTTTGTATAGTTTCTATATGGGTTAGAGGATAATAATCAAGTTCATTGAACTTTGTAATATTTGTAGAGGCATTGCTCTTTTGGGTCTTCTGGGTTAAAAAGGTGCTGTCACAATCCGAAATAAAATTTCTTGATGATTCGTTCTTCACACTGCACATGCCCATTTTACACGTATAGATAATTTATGATGTTTTTATTTGTACAGTTTTTTAGTCTCAAATTAAATCATACCTCACTTCCATAATTATAAATACATGGAGACCAAACCTTTATCAGATCAAATCAGATCGATTCACACCAGACTACACTCATACAATTTCAATCCAAGTAATAACACCCTTAAAAAAGTATTTCACTTTTTTGTGTTTTTTAAATAAGTTGCTAACAGGTGTACATATGTAAAATAATGGGATGTGTACAAAAATGTCTTCTAAAGAAATTTTATTTTCTTCATTGCTGCCCAATCACCAACTTCTGAACTCACTTGCGGTTGCTAAGCTTCTAGCGCTCTTGTTGTATTGATTTGTGTAAGTGTAATTAATTGTTATACGGGGCGTATTCTATGTTGGTTTAATTTATTCCCCTTCTCGCGTACTTGTTTTAAAATAATTCTAAGAAAATGTTTCCTCAATTTTATTGCTCCGTATAAATATAAAAATGCATAATTTGTGTGATGCACGTACGAAACTTTTCATACTTTATAGGCTTTTCCGTAGAATCAGGCTAACCATCAATCGAAAAACAAAAAACTATCACTATGATAAATACACACACCTATAGTGCGTTATAATTTCAAAAGATCTTTATCCCATTTAATTTAACTTACAAATGCCTGTAATACAATCAATATAAAGTAAATACAAGCAATGAGCTTCACGATGAAGCAAATATGCTTTTAATTTTCTAAAAAGGCCTATTAGGTTTTTATTTCACCTTCCAACTTAGAACAAGTTTGCTTATTACACGCAATTAAGAATCTCTTTTATTCAATGTGACCTCTACACAACATATATGAACTATTGAAAAACATTATATTCTTGTTTGGGAAAGTTCCATTAGTTTTAAACCATCCTTTCATTTATGTAACAAATATCCCTTGGTTACATAAATCTTGTTCATATTGACTTTTTAGGTTAATGATGACCAAATTTAACCAATGATATTTGTTCATATGAAATTATTTCAAATCTGATGATAAGTATATAGAAATGTTCTTTGTTAAAATATGGTGAAACTCTAAATGGGAGGGGGAATGGATAACTTTGAAAGAGGATAAAGGGATTATAATTGAAAATCATTTTAAGGAGCTATTTACTGCTTCGGAGCATGAGCAAGAGGGATCGACACATATGAACACGATGAGTGCTAATAGAAAACAAAATAGCCAACTATTATGACTAATCTTTCCGAATGAAGTGAAGAATGCTTTGTTTGCAATGCACCTGGATAAAGAACCATGGCCTGGTGGGTGAATTCGGGGTTTTATAAGCACTTTTGAGATATAGTTGGGACAGAAGTGGCGAACTTCTGCCAGCAAGTGGTACCAAAGGAGTTGATTGTGACTAACTTGGTATTGATATCAAAGAAGGAGAAGCCTTAGGAATTAGGGGATTGGAGACTCATTGCTTTGTGAAATGTTATTAATAAGATTTTTTAGAATTTTTGGCGAATCGAATATAATGAAAGGATGGTTGAATATTATTGTCTTAGAGAATCAAGTGCTTTTGTACATGGGTGTTCCATTGTTGTTAATATTCTAGTAGCATTTGAAACCCAACATTCATAAAAGTTAGTGATATGGGAAAGAGGGATTTGTTGTATTAAATCTAGATATGAGCAAGGCTTACGATCTCAAGGTTGATATGAAGCATTAAAGCTAAAGCTTCATATCCTGATCTGATGAGGGTTGGATGTGATTAAGGTAAATGTGGGAGGGATTGTTGACGAGCGTAGGAGTGTGAGGCCCTTGAGGGTATGGGGATGGTTGGCTCAGGATGATGAAGGTAGTTTTATATATGGCAGGAGGATGTCAAGTTACTTGGACTCCAAAGGAAGCTGAAGCGTTAGGGCTTCGGAAGGCGGCCCAGTGGGCACTAGAGATGGGGTGTCATCAGGCATTGTTCGAAACAGGTTCTTTGGTTGTTATTTTAGTGGTTCAAGTGAAGTTCGTGACTCCTGTTTTGATATTATATTAGATGATATTATATTTTTATTGAGCCAAAAATCTAATTTTGAGGTAAGGCATTGTAAGTGAGTAGTTAGTTTTATATTGATCGGGTTAGAATGTTTTATACCTCTCTGTAGTTTATTGTAAGCCATTTGGAAAATAAACTTTTGAATTGATTAAGGAAGTTTTTTCATGAGCATAACATATCAATACATAGTGTTATTATTTTTATTACATTTATTGTTATACACAATAAATAATTGCAATTAGAAGTCAGTGTGACATACTTGAATTATAAATAGTAATCTTATGATACCTGGAGGTGGATGTGAGAACTGAAATATTGATGCACGCAAACAATGACTTAATATTGCAATGTAATAAACAATCTAAGACTTGTCATCAGTTCAAGTATATAATTGTGGATACATTTATATTGCAATAATAAGTTCAAGTATATTGGACACAAATATTCCGGTCAGGAATTTCCTGACCGGAGCCCCGTCCGGCCTACTCCTTTTGGGGGCCTTCCCAGTGGTATTTTTTGCTCAAATTTTTTGTGTATGTTCCTCATCAATTCTTGTTCATCCATACCAAATTTCAGCAAACAATTAAATCGGAAAGGTTGTCAAATGATTTTTGCAAGTTAACTAGTCCGGAATATGTATTTTCCGGACCAGTTAACTTCCAAAAATCATTTGATGATCTTCCCGATTGAATTTTTTGCTCAAATTTGGTATGGATGAACTAGACTTGATGAGGAACATACAAACAAAATTTGAAAAAAAAAAATACCACCGGGAAGGCCCCCAAACGGAGGAGGCCGGACGGGGCTCCTGTCCGGAAATTCCGGACAGGAATAGCTCTCTAATTATGGATACATTTATATTGCAATAATAATTCACTACACCTACTTTTAAAAGATAGATAGTGTTGTGGTATAATATATTTCATGTGGTTGACCTTCTTTTGTCGATATCTTCCCATATGAAAGCATTAAGGACTTTAATCATCAAATTTAGAATTCCCACCAAATAAAGGACTACACAAGTGTTAGGTCTTTCTGCGACAACATTCAGAACAATTTTATTTGTTTGCCCCACAAGCTAAGCATAGGTCCCGAATGACCTCAACACTGGTGAAAGATGGCTCAACAAATTGTTCTCCACCAATTATAGCTTCGAGCCGTCTTGGCCATGTCATGTGTGCCCACTACAATTGTGAGAGGTGACGTTATTTGTAAGACCCCAACTTCGCAAGATCCGAGATCGTTACTCCTGAGAGTTCTCCTGATCCAGTACTCTCCTCGCATATAAATAGACGTCTATACAGTGTACTTTAACATCACTTATGCGCACTCTGAAAAACTTACCAAGAGGTTATCGTCCACAGACTCTCCTACAAGCACAATTAACTCTAAGGTTCTTAACAAATGAGTTCATTTTAAAAGGAATTCCTAAATATTGATATGAGTAACACATCTAACCCTTTTGAGGTATTCCTAAATATTGCAGATTGCATTGTTGCTCTTCCCCCCTCTATAATGATGTTGAGTGTACCATGAAATCCAGACATGACATTATAGACCTACAAATGACCCAAATAGTTCTCGTCATTCTTCCTCAGTCTAGGGGCTTGGCCAAAGCGATGTTGGTAGCCTTGTAGGTCCCCTTATTGTGCTTGGGACTCTAAGTCTTGGGTCCAACTCACTCTCTCAAGCAACATAAGCCGTAGGTGGGTTTTGGGTCAGTTGTTAGGATGTGAGGGCAATATCCTAATGAATAGTAAAAATATTAAAATAATACAAAACTACACAGATTTAACTACCCCTGCAATAACGACAACAATAACGATGGATGTAATTATGATGGCGGTGGTGATGATTACGATGATGATGATAAAATTCAAGATATTTATATTACGACGATGAGCATGTTCCTCATCAAGTCTAGTTTATCCATACCAAACATTCTGCAATTTGGATGTTTTAAGCACATATAATGTGCAGTATGTTTCAAGAATTTATTTGAATGCCTTCCTGATTGAATTTCGAGCTGAAATTTGGTATGGATAAACGAGACTTGATGAGGAACATGCTCAAAAAATTTCATCAAACAATTCCACCGGGAACCGCCCCAAACAGTAAAGTTCGGACGGAGCCTCCCGTCCCTCCGAATGGACCTGATCTTTTCTATTATACTCCCTCCGTCCCAAAAACAACTTCCCAGTCACTATTCATTGGTCAACTTGAATCACTCGTAATCTTTTACTTTTTATATCAAATTTTTATCAAATTTAAATTTTATTGATTAGGCTTTGTAGCGGTTTTAATGTAGTTTCTGAATATGTAAATTTTATTTACTAAAAATAATCCGAGTGTGAGTAGGGATCGAGTTGCTTTATCGTCAGTCAAGCATCGTAAACCGAACGGGAAGTTAATTGTGGGACGGAGGTAGTATTGTATTATATATGCAATTTTGTTGTGTTTATCTCACACATGTCTAGAAGTAAGAATACTTGAGTTAATTTTGTCTTAAAATAAAATAAATAATCATCACAATCTTACTAAATTTAGAAAGACAAAAAATGGTACTTTTTGTATAAAATAATTAATTGGGGTTTTGGCATGAATATTACTAAAAACCAGACAATGGACAAAAAAGAGACCTTTTTTTAAATTTCCCAAAAAAGTGACTAATAAACACCTATATCTCTAAATTAGCCTTCCTAAGTGGTGAGTAGGGCTGAGCACGGATCTGGGAATTCCCGTTCCGTACCGAAGAACCGTCCCGAACCGTTCCAGAACCGATAGAACCGGAAAAAGGTAAAACCGTACCGTACCCAGCTTTTTTAATAATATGGTACGGTACTGGTTCTTAGTGAGAACCGTTCCGGAACCGTATTGTCCCGAACCGCCCCTACTGTCCCGAATTGTCCCGAAAACTAGTGTTAGATTATAATAATATATTATACATAATATATTGCCGAGTATAAATGTTAGTGACCATATGTCCAGGGGCGGATCTAGAATTGGCATTCAGGTGGGGCCAAAATTATTTAAACATGTATATTGCAAAAATTGTCAAAATGTAATACTCCCTAAATTAATATGTATTTAACGAAATTTATTTTCATGTGCAAAATAACATATGTGACAACATAAATGTCAAAGAGAAAAACAAATATTAGGAGAATAAATTAAATTAAGAGTTTTTGTTAAAATCAAGTAAATTAAATTAATTTTCACTCAAATGAATTGAATTGGTTAATTTTCTAGGCTAATATTTGAAAGCCAAAAGCATGCAGAATATTAGTATCAAGCTTGTAGTTATAAATCCTAGAGTTCCAGTTTAAATAGATTCGGAGTATGTTTGAACTTTGAAGGAAGAATCCTTCTTTTCTTTCGGTGTGGGATAAAGAGGTTTAATGGGGGAAAACTGAAATTTTAAAACACAATGCAAAGGTTAAAATAATACAGCACAGGATTCGAACTCGAGTTGCACAAATAACAGCGCCTGGACATCTTAAATCCACTTCCATCTCCCCGTCATTCTTTTTTAAAGCAATTGGAGTTTCATAGTTATTATACCATTGTTGCACAACACATTATACGAAGTATATATTAGTGTATATATATAGTATATACTATTTTTTTTTGAGGTTGGGCCTAGGCCCTCCCTAACCTTAAGGCAGATCCGCCCCTGCATATGTCCCGAAAACTAGTGTTATAATATAATAATACGTATATTATATATAACATATTACCAAGTATATATGTCAGGAATCGTATGTCCATATATTACAAATATGCAATCTTGCATATTCTTTGGGCGTAATCCAATTATTAAGACTTGACAGCACTAAAAGTTAGCTTTTAAACAAAAACAATATTAAATGATATAAACAATGCTATGTAAATAGGGTTGTTGGGATATTAGGTCCAGGCCCAATATCCCTAGGCCCAAATCCAAGAAGAAGCAGCAGGCCCAAGACGATCCAAAGAACTCCTGGACGGCATTCGGGATGAAACTTATACTTGAAATATTCCGGGAGTCACTTACGTCAAGGTGCCAATGCCCAGATACCGATCGGCGTTCGGGATATGTCCATAAGCAGGATAGCACCTATGGCGGGGTCCCACACACCGAACACCCTGCCCGAACGGGCAGTCAGCAAGTGGAGGCCGCATTTAATGCTGGATCATGGCGGCAGCAAGTGGGGGCTTGGGTGCATACATGGCAGGAGTGACAGCCTACCGGATTTGGCCACGTGTCCACCTCATCCATCCCTATTTTAGTATAAATACCCATGTTTGGATCATTGTAAAGGGTTAGCATTTTAATACTCAGAGCTTAGCAATAGATTTACATCTTCCATCCTTGTAATCTCATATTCATCTACCGTTCAGGTAGTTCCAGTGTAATTGCTAATTACAGACTATAAGTAAGTTCTTGAGTTGAATATTATCTGACTATTTTATATTTTATACACATTTCAACCCCACCCAATATCCCTACAATATCCAAGGCTTGTGTTGGGCTTTCGGATCTTCGGGAATAAACCTCAACATTGGCGCCGTCTGTGGGAAACGACACTAAAAGTCCAGACAAAACCGTTGATCTAAGCACCATTTTTCTTGAAAATGGCTAGACTTACTACCGCGACACCGAGTTCTACATCCAGGGGCCGAGGAGGCAATAGATCCTCCGAAGGGTGGTCCATGCAAGGACAAGCCAGCGGCAGTGCCACCCGGGAGTTCGAGCAAATCATCCCTCGGGACGTAAGGATGAACCCTCAGTTGATGAGGGAGATGGCAGAGGCCATGCAACGCATGGCGGATGAACAGGAACAGGGATACACCGACGAGACACATGAGCCCCTATCCCCCATTAATCCTATGACATCCTTTGACGAAAGAGAAGACACTGAGACCACCACGGCCTCAGCACATTCCCAGGAGCATCGAGGAAACCGCAGGAGGACCCACCCTTACGGGCATGCACAGCCAGCCCCAGCCAGCCGAACCCCGTCCGCACCTCGAAACGGATATAGGGATCCTACCCCCGTGGTAGACCCCGTTGGACAACACTTCCAGTATATCCAGAGGGATGGGGAACGCTTCATCCGGAGG